TTGGTTTTGTTTTACGTAAATAGTTGAGGTTTTGTATACTTGCATTTTACTAACTACTCTAGTTATGAAATTTTTTAAATATATGAATTCAGTTGACTTCACTCCGTCTAAAACAGCTATATTCATATCTTTGTTTTTCAGACACCAGCGCTATTGTGGTAGGTTTTGGAACCTCTATTTTCAGTATATAGTGGGACGCTTTTTCAACTTTCACACCTTATAAGATGGTTATCCTTCTACTCTACACTCCATAGTTTTACTCCACAGTTCACACTACAGACTAACTAGTAGATTATACTTAGTCTAGTTACGCCCTAGTTACTCGACTCCACCGAGTCAGTAATTCATTATTGGGTCGATGATATACGCTTTTACAACAAAATTCCAGAAAATATACAAAATTTGACCTGCGCAAAGATCTAAAACTATTAAACTAAGTTTGTATAAAAAGGGTTATTATAATATTAAGGAATTTATGGATGACAATAACCCCTGGGAATAAGGTGATCACTACCATACTATTTCTAATGTGTTGTGTAGTTAATTGTGTACATTATTGTAAGCTGTTAATTAAAAAAAAAGTCCCGCTGGGTTTTTTATTAGTTCTTCCCAGGAAAGAGGTATTTTTCCGAACCAGTGGTAATTAAACAAAAGAATGACTTTCAATAAGTATCATTTATAATCTATATTGACTAAAAAAGTTTCTGTTTCTGTTTCTACCGAATGTGCACACGATACTTTTCTACTTGGATACTCTGGTACAGTTGTAAAAAAATATGTAATTGTTAGTAGAGTTTTATTCAGAGTTACATTGAAATTCAAAGTTAAAGTTTTATACCTAAGTTGACTGTATAATGAATGGAGACTTTTTTCTATAAAAAAACATCACTATTGTTATGAAATAAGTACCTATTTAATATAATTCTTAAAAAAATTAACAAAACCCGGTCTCGACACGTCAAATTTTTCGAGAGTTATCGTGACCATGTAAAAAAAAATCCGGACGTCCACGAAAATTTTTTCAGTTTTCTTAAAATAGCAAAATAAAATTGATTTATACTCGTACAAAATATGAGATAGATTGATTAAATTTTCTTGAAATAAATCTACTCATATTATCTTATGAGTGCAAATCAGTTGTTGTAGAGGTAGTTACAGAGCAAAAAAATTCTTGATCTTGACGTGTTGAGAGTGAAGCACAAACTCAACCGCTTCGCGGTGTGAGGTGTGCGATATTTGAAAAAAAAAGAAATTGTGTACATTCCAAAAATATATGAAATCCGAACAAAAACAGTTTCACTGTAAAGTATCGCGCCAAGTAAACTTTCAACAATAGTTATAAAAATAATAAAATATATTTTTACAAAAATTGTAAAATAAAAAAACCAAGTAAATAACCGTTTTAGATTCGAAAAACAATTTTGGTGAAAAAAGTAATAATAAAAAAATTGTGTACCTGATGTGCGTGATTAAGAGTATCGATCACCCAATTTGACATTGGAAGTCGTTTTTTTATAACTTTTTTGAGTTATGCTCGTGCTATAAAGTATAACGCACACCAAGTACATCATTTTTTTATTATTACTTTTGTTGTATTGTATTAGTACTTGGTTTTTTTTATTTTATAATTTTTTGTAAAAATGTAATAATTATTTTTATAACTATTGTTGAAAGTTTACTTGGCGCGATACTTTACAGTGAAACTGTTTTTGTTCGGATTTCATATATTTTTGGAATGTACACAATTTCTTTTTTTTTCAAATATCGCACACCTCACACCGCGAAGCGGTTGAGTTTGTGCTTCACTCTCAACACGTCAAGATCAAGAATTTTTTTGCTCTGTAACTACCTCTACAACAACTGATTTGCACTCATAAGATAATATGAGTAGATTTATTTCAAGAAAATTTAATCAATCTATCTCATATTTTGTACGAGTATAAATCAATTTTATTTTGCTATTTTAAGAAAACTGAAAAAATTTTCGTGGACGTCCGGATTTTTTTTTACATGGTCACGATAACTCTCGAAAAATTTGACGTGTCGAGACCGGGTTTTGTTAATTTTTTTAAGAATTATATTAAATAGGTACTTATTTCATAACAATAGTGATGTTTTTTTATAGAAAAAAGTCTCCATTCATTATACAGTCAACTTAGGTATAAAACTTTAACTTTGAATTTCAATGTAACTCTGAATAAAACTCTACTAACAATTACATATTTTTTTACAACTGTACCAGAGTATCCAAGTAGAAAAGTATCGTGTGCACATTCGGTAGAAACAGAAACAGAAACTTTTTTAGTCAATATAGATTATAAATGATACTTATTGAAAGTCATTCTTTTGTTTAATTACCACTGGTTCGGAAAAATACCTCTTTCCTGGGAAGAACTAATAAAAAACCCAGCGGGACTTTTTTTTTTAATTAACAGCTTACAATAATGTACACAATTAACTACACAACACATTAGAAATAGTATGGTAGTGATCACCTTATTCCCAGGGGTTATTGTCATCCATAAATTCCTTAATATTATAATAACCCTTTTTATACAAACTTAGTTTAATAGTTTTAGATCTTTGCGCAGGTCAAATTTTGTATATTTTCTGGAATTTTGTTGTAAAAGCGTATATCATCGACCCAATAATGAATTACTGACTCGGTGGAGTCGAGTAACTAGGGCGTAACTAGACTAAGTATAATCTACTAGTTAGTCTGTAGTGTGAACTGTGGAGTAAAACTATGGAGTGTAGAGTAGAAGGATAACCATCTTATAAGGTGTGAAAGTTGAAAAAGCGTCCCACTATATACTGAAAATAGAGGTTCCAAAACCTACCACAATAGCGCTGGCGTCTGAAAAACAACGATATGAATATAGCTGTTTTAGACGGAGTGAAGTCAACTGAATTCATATATTTAAAAAATTTCATAACTAGAGTAGTTAGTAAAATGCAAGTATACAAAACCTCAACTATTTACGTAAAACAAAACCAAGCGGATTGGTCGGTCCTTGCTTATTTCTCCATCTTATTTTAATTAATTTTGGCGCTTTTTTAAATTTATCCTATGCTACTGCAGCGCCCCCCTTATTGGACGCGTTTTTAGGGACACTTTTCATATACAGAGATGGTCCTCCTTCTACTCTTCACTTCATAGTGGAATCTTTTTAGTGTTATATGGAAACAAAATGATAAATGACTGTATAAAGTGTTGACGTTTCGTTAATAATTAAATATATGAAGTTAAAATTTTGGTGAGGTAATGTTGACATCTATTTCGAGAATATATACACTGTAGCCTCATGCCTATACGTTTACAGACATATAATATGTTGAACGTGTACTGGGCGTGAGACACTACAGTGTCTCAGCATATACATAGCAAAGCATAGCATCTAGCCGATCAGAAAGAACTCGGTCGTCGACGATTCGAACCGCTTTGCGCAGGACATTATTTATATTTATTATTTATTCGATATATTTATTTAAATAGTGATAAAAAAAAAAACAAAAATATTGATATATTATTTATATACCTTGATGTTTTTAAAATCGATGTTTCAGTTTCGAAAATATCGAGGTTCTAATATCGCTTTTTTATGAGCAATGTTGCATCCCTACCGCCATACCAATACTCTCAAGATAGAACATACCTACGCGCGTTGCATTATATTATATTAATTGCTTACGGCATGCAATAAGGATGTTGAACGTGTACTTGAAGTGAGACACTACAGTATTTCCGGATCTCTTCAAAATGATTATTTATTCGATATATATATTTATTTAAATGCTGATAAAAAACATCAAAAATATCGCTATATTATAGTACATATATATTTTAGAATAGAATAGAATAATTTTTTATTCAATATATATTACATGAGTAATTTTTATTGAAAGTCATTTTTTACTTTACTACTGTAACCCTCTGTCCTAGGAAGAACCAACAAGAAACTTTTTTCACCAAAATTGTTTTTCGAATCTAAAACGGTTATGTACTTGGTTTTTTTATTTTACAATTTTTTGTAAAAATATATTTTATTATTTTTATAACTATAGTTGAAAGTGTACTTGGCGCGATGCTTTACAGTGAAACTGTTTTTGTTCGGATTACTGACTCGGTGGAGGCGAGAAACTGGTACTACTATGTTGTGTCTATTCCAAGTATTTACATAATGAATATAACATATTTTTGTAAAACTACTTTTGTTTTTGTGTACGTACATTACCTTTTTATAATGCATTGATAAGCCAAAGTTAATATATTAATTTCCTTAAAGTGTTATCGCAGCGAGCAGCGACTCTTTAGGCGCTATAAATTGTATATATTATTTAATTATAAATTGCCCTTATGGCCCTCTGCTGTAAAAAAAATATAAGTTCAGTGTCAGCTGCGTGTCCCCATAGCAAAATACCATACGACATAAATTAGTCTAGTTTTTTCAACACTGGTAAGATTTCTAATCGTTTTTACAGCATTTGGTGCGGAACTAAGTCTGCTTAACTAGTTTTGATATATGGGGGCTCCATTGAAGATTCGCGTCTTTTATGATTCCAAGAAAAATGATGGTATCTACAAGACTCAGTTTCCCCCCCCCCCCCCATTTAAAATTACATTATTATTTAATTGTTTTACATTTGGAGTAATTAATTTCTTACATTTCGTTTCAGTGCCATTTAAATTACACATTGCCGGCCGATTTTGATTTGAGATTTATTTATCCGTTCGGTTGGTTACTCATGTAGGCCGTCCTATAGTCGACTTGCCAATTTTTAAACTACTATAATCCATTATTTGACTACAATACTACCTGATGGTATGTGGTGTTGCATAAGATGTTGGTAAAGTGGACTGAATCAGCTTAAAAAAGCTTATTTGCTCTTGCCTTAAAGACACCCACAAATGTTAGCAACCTATTCCATTACTTTTAAAATTCGTTTACGTGTAGTATTTGAATAAGACGTGAATGACATACAAATATAATTTGTTACAGCTTTCCTGGGTAATTGTGACAGTTTGCTACAAAGTGGAGGCAATCATCGCAGCAGTCGTCTTGTCGGGACTAACTGGCTGTATGTTGCTCGTAGTGCCCATCTATATAAGCGAGTTCTGCCAGGAGTCCATCAGAGGGACGATGACGTCAGCTGCCATGGTCTTCTACGGGATAGGGATGCTCGTTTCTTACCTCATGGGCGGATATTTAGCTTACGACACGATGAATTACTCCTGCTTGTCCATGACTGTACTTGGGGTGGTGTTACTTATGCTTATGAAGGAGTCGCCGATACATCTGATGTCGAAAGGTCTAGAAAAGGTTTGTAGTGTAAATTAATGAAATGAGGTAAAGTCTTGTATTCTATTCTTGAAAATATAATATGATAGAAAAATAAAGAAAAAATATACAAAAAAACATTAATTAATAAAATAATGTATTTTAATATATATTTTATTATAGTAATCATTAGCCATTTCTTACTAGGAAGCCGCAAGAGTCATTGCATACTACAGAGGTGTTAAAATAACTTCCAAAATAGTTGAAGAAGAAATGCAAATGCTTCGGAGGGCGCTGAATCCGGAAATGGACGGTAATAATATTTTTAAAATATCAAAGATTTTGTAGAATGAAAGTGTAAATTTACTATACTAAAATTCGTTACCCTAAGACTCCAACTTACCATCTAGGGTTTTATCAACAGTTACTACCAGGTAGGATTGTAGTTAACTACTATTGTTTATACAACTGACTTATACTAGATATAAAAACAAATAAGCACGGGTCGGTGGTATTAACGGTGATTATTCACTCTCATCTACTCTGCTGATTTCAATCTTAACATTTTTTCTATCAGCTTGTGAAATTCTACCGCTAGATTTGGGCTCTATGGTGAGGATTTGACTTATCTGTAGTAAAGATCAACCGTATATTGACATACCATTGGCATGGTAGAATGTAACCTTTCTTTAATAAATAACAACATCATTATATTATAAACAACATTCTGGCATTGTATAAAATTTAATTGAATTGAATTGAACTAAATTGATATGGGGTAGTGAATACTATTATAAGAACACATCGTCTACTGGGTTTCGAAAGAGGTGACAGAGGGAAACAAACTGGGAGGTAGGTAGCAGCGTCTTCATATTAACCTGTGACCCGTCTTGTAATTTTTTTGGGAAATGTCCACCCTATGATGCAATTTATGAGAGTTGCATATGTTTAGCAGTGGTCTAATAATACGCTGCATCGGTAACGGTGAATCATCCCTATAATAAAAGCAGGCAACTGCAGTACCAGACGTATCGCACCTTTGACTTAACTACCAGTCGCTGGTCTAAGTATTTTACGTCTGACTTAAACGAGATGGTTATTCGGCTATCCATCGGTTATGAGACTTCTGGCATTTTCCACAAACGCTTCTCCCATGAGATAAAATGGACTGATGGATTATGTTACGCCGCCGAATCAGGGCTATTTAACTTTCATGTGACTACATATATTGACGGCTCCGTGGCGCAGTGGCTTAGAAATGAGTTGTTGCGCTGGGGAACGCGGGTTCGAATCCCGCACGGAACAAGTATTTGTATGGCCTACAAATAATTATTCCGGGTCCGGATGTTAGTCCTCGTGCAATTTATGTTTGTAAACTGCTTCCACGACACAGGAGAACATCCTAGTGTGGGGGTAAAGTTTTAAAAAAAAATAACGAAGATATATTCTGCCTGAAATAGCTGCGAGTACTTTTTAAATGTATTAGGGCGACAGACGAGTATACAATCTATCTGATTAATAAATAGTAGAGCTACAGAGCCACACTGCAGCTTTATTATGCTTGTAGTACAAATGGGTTATCTCGATCGAGCAAGGACCACGCTCTCGCAAAATAGCAGCATAAGATAGCAATTTAATGCATGATTATGAAAAATACGAGTATTTTACGGTGGTTTCTATGAGCGAATAGTACTAGAATAATAGTACGTATTTGATATACTGTATGTAACTGTATGTAATGTATATGTGTGTGTGTGTGTGTGTGTGTGTGTGTGTGTGTGTGTGTGTGTGTGTGTGAGTGTGCGTGCGTTTGTGTCGCAAAATACATCAGTATAGCGTTAATTATTAAAAATAATAAAAGTGTGAGAGCGTTCAACTTGGGAGCCATGCTGCAGCTATATTCGTAGTATAGATGTAGCGCGAATGGGTCGGCTCGACTGGGGAAGGACCATGCTCTCGCAGAATACCAGCGTAAAATAGCAGCTTAACACCGCTGTGTTTCGTATGGTGAGTGTAGAGAACCGGAGATCCTTTTTACTTAGTCCTCACGGGTGACATTTTCATTGTTTATTGAGAATATATAGGTATGTAGATGTCTATGTGGACTGTGTGCTCGTTTGTCACCCTATTCTATAAAATGTTCTTGTCCGTAATGATTTTTATAAACTATTCGCAGATTTAACCCCCGAAGTGGAAAAACTACAGCCCTCACTGGAGAACAAACCCAAGATGTCTGTGTGGAAGTTCATTAGTAAGTTGTTTTGCAGATGGACACAGTTAATTTATAATATATATTAAATTGTTTTATTTTTTAGATTATACTTGTTGACTCTCTCAGATTTTCAGTTTCTCTCACAATGTACACATCTGAGCATGTGGTTAAATTGAACATAATATAGAGTGGCAACTATTCTCTCGAACAATTTGCCAATTTTATCCGACAGGCATATGGATGATCTAAATCCTAGGTTTTGATCAAAAACCTTATTTTACCATAAACCTGCGACATATGAGTATATAAATTTTGATTCTTCGATTATATTGTCCATTTTGCGGATGGAAAAACTGTTCAATATATGAAATTCCTTTCGAGTGCAGGCAAAATCCCTGGTGTTTTTTAAACAAACACTAAAATAATACCGGGACAAAAAAGTTAACTACAAATTTTACGTTACAGAAAAATCTCGATCAACCCGACAAGCCTTAATGGTGTCCATCGTTTTGTACACATCTGCGGTCTTTCAAGGTCTAATGGTGGTACAGGTGTACGCAGAGCCTTTGTTCGCGGAAGCGGTTCCTACCATGTCCCCGGTTATCTGCAGCGTTGTATCCGCTGCCGTGACAATCGTTTCCGGTTTCATTGCTGCCTTCTTAGTCGAATGGGCAGGGAGACGGGTTAGTATAATTTAGAATCGTCAATATTACTGTAAGGTGTCGAAAAAATTAATTACTGTTTTTCGTTTCTCGGTTGTCGTACGAAGCGTATATTGATAGTGGCACAAACGTTATATCTTCCGATAGATGGCAATATAATTCCATTTATCCAAAACTTAAAATATGCTTAGTCCGGCAACGGAGGGTTACCTCAAAGATACGACATACATAGTATTGCAATCGTCAATTAGGAAGATTGTCTAGCTAATCCCGTTTCATTCTGTGGGTGTCGTAAGAGGCAAATATGGTAAACACCAGAAAAATATTACGACTTTCGATAGATGGCAGTCTAACGAATTTGTTTATCTCTATGCTTATTGTATATTGCGTCATAGGGAGAATCTCTATGATGATTTGTTATAGTGAGGATCTCTATGATGATTTGTCATAGTTCCCACATTTTTTTTTATAGGATAGTGTGACAAACGAGCACACAGTCCACCTGATTGTAAGTGGTTGCTGTGGCCCATATACATCTACATTTATCCTCGTTTGCGAATCAAAATGCAGATGCGTTGTCACCCGTGAGGACTAAGATAGAATGCCTCCTTTCCAGCAAAAAGGGTCTCCGGTTCTCTACACTCACCATACGAAACACAGCAGCAAGAAGCTCCTATTTGACGCTGGTATTCTGTGAGATCGTGGTACTTCCCCGGTCGAGACGATCTATTCGTGCTACAACTATACTACTAATATAGCTGCAGCATGGCTCTACCACGTAACACGTTTGGTTGGCTCGCAACTGTAGTGTATGTTTTGAGTCATTGTCAAAACGATGCTGCTGTCCATCTCTTGTTTAATTTCCCTCTGTTGCCTCTTACAAAATCACCAGGATGATATGTGGTATTGGATATTCTTAAACCGCTACTATACAGTTATACATGCATGACCCATTCATTATAAATTCTTACAATATGAAGTATTTTAATTAACTTCTTTCTTGCAGTCGCTGATGATCTACGCTTCAATAGCATCGGGTGTGTGCTGCCTGATTCTCGGGACCCAGATACATCTGCACTGGGGCCCGCACTGGATGACAGCGTTGTTCATCTACTTGTTCGTAATTACATACACGTGCGGTGCTGGCACTGTTCCTTACGTGCTGGTCGCTGAGGTGTTCTTGCCTGAGGTTAATTAATATTCATTATTGTTAGAAGTAGTTGAAAAAAATTCTTCCGTTTTATAGAATTATGAAAAGTCAATGCTTGACTTCAAGAAACTGTAGTATCTTTTAACGTTAACAGTGGCAGAGCTAAGCGGTAGCTTTTGCTGTCGCACGGATGGGCCAGTTAGAACCGGGGTGGTACCACGACCTCACAGAATACCAGCGTGAAGTAGAGGTTTACCTCGGCGTTGCGCTTGGTGAGTGCAGGTGGCCGGAGGCCCAATTCCCCCCCCCCCCCCCCCCATCAACATGGTAGTGGAATTAAATACAAGACTACCCCAGGAGGGTACCAGCACCCCTGGAGAATCCCTCGCTGAGCATCCACGACCAAACTACTTCACTCCTGAGCGTGGGTGCTCAGGCTGCCCCGCGTATTCTGGGGGGGCCAAAATTCCACTCGTGACTAATGCTGCTCGGGGCAAGCGGAGCATTACAACCAAGGCGACCCCTGTCACGCTATCCGTGAATTTTTGCAACATCAGGGGACTTCATTCCAACCTTAACGCTGTCCATTACCATCTAGAGACGGCGAAGCCGGCCTTGCTCTTTTTAACCGAGACTCAAGTGTCCTCTCCGGCTGATACTTTATATCTCTCCTACCCGGGATACAAATTGGAACACTCCTTTGTGCCCCGGGCTGGAGTTTGTGTATACGTCAGAGAGGACATCTGTTTTCGACGCCTCGGCAGCCTTGAAGGTACGGACCTGTCCATCCTATGGCTGCGCGTAGACAGCGACGACCATCCCCGCGTCTACGGGTGCCTCTATAGGTCCCATAGCGGTAATGCCGACACAGACCGACTCATCGACCACGTCAAAATGGCTGCAGACTCCGTGCTACATCAGGTCCCATCCGCAGAGATCGTGATACTCGGTGATTTCAACGCCCACCACGCTGAATGGCTTGGTTCTCGTTTAACCGATCATGCGGGTAGATCTGTGTACGACTTTGCTTTGGCATATGGTCTAACACAACTGGTTACTTCGCCTACGCGGATCCCAGATGTAGAAGACCATGTACCTTCCCTGTTGGACCTTCTGCTGACCTCTCATCCGGACGGATATCAGGTCTCCGTCGATGCCCCTCTGGGCTCTTCGGACCATTGTCTGATCCGGAGCACGGTGCCACTCACGCTCCAATCGCAGTTGCGATCTGCAGCTTGCCACCGTGTTTGGCACTATAGGTCAGCTGATTGGGACGGGATGCGGTCTTTTTTTGCATCCTTCCCTTGGGGCGGGTTTGCTTCTCGCCGGAAGATCCCAGCGTTGTTGCCGATTCTGTTGCTGATGTGGTACTTCAGGGTATGGAACTTTTTATTCCATCCTCTGTGGTGCCCAATAATTTAGGTTTTTTCCGAACCGATACGACTTAGGAACCTTCAAGAAAAGAGCTTACACCTTTCTAAAAGGCCGGCAACGCATCTGCAATTCCCCTGGTGTTGCGGTTGTTCATGGGCGGCGGTAGTCACTTACCATCAGGTGAGCCGCAAGCTCGTTTGCCCCCTATTCTATAAAAAAAAAAAAAAACGTAAATCAGAACTCAAATTTATAATTAAAAGCTGAAGATTGCTCGGATTTATTAAGAGAACTGGATTACATCTACTATGTGAAGAAAGTTGGTGCAAAGCGTTCTAATTATGAAAATCGAAATGTGATATATTGTAAACGCGTTAAAATAATGAGGATACAGGTATGGACTGAGCATTCAATTATTCACCATTAGATAAAGCAAACCAAAGTTCACTGCTGAACATAGGCCTCTCCTTAGTTTGACTTAGACGCTTGGCAGGTGAGATGCTTACCGAAACTATTTTTTTAGTTGTTATAAGGAAGATGTGTCATAATTTCCCGAACGCTAATCAGCCGAGTTGAAGTCGGACTTACAATTTACTATTTGTCTCAGATAAAGATACTTATCAACAACGTCGAGCTTTGTGCTCTCAATAACTACCAGCATAGGTGTGAGATGTACGTTACACATGACTTTCGTTTTGTTTATGTTCATCTTAAGACCTATCCTTAGGGAGACACTATTAAGGTCATTGAGCATAGCGCTAAGCTTCCAGTTATTCTGCCATAAGGACTATATTACCAACAAATCGAAGGTGAGTGATGTACTCACCATTAATGTTAGTACCGTATCCTTTCCAGTCCAGTAGTTTGAAAACGTCTTCCAATGCAGCGGTGAAGAGTTTGGGGGTATTACGTCACTCTATCTTACACCTCTCTGCAGTTGGATATTTTTTGTTATCTGCTTCTGTACTCGGATAACAATCGTATACGTAGGTATACGATGGTTATCTGGAGTAGTCCAAGAACACTTCAGCACTTTGATATAGCAACATTCAAGATGGCACCGCTGAAAGGACTGTAGCACCTCCTAAATTTCGACGGAATCAAAGGCTTTCTCATACTCCACGTACGCAAGATATAGTGGCAGGTTGTACTTTTCGGTTTTCTGTATAATTTGCCGAAGGGTATGTGTGGTCTACGGTAATAAAGCCTTTTCGGAAACCGGCTGTTTCGGGAGGCTGGAAGTTGCCAAATCTGCCTGCAAAACCATTTGAAATGCCTTTGGAAAAAAGCACGTCGACGCAGCTCAGAAAGGAAATCGGTCTGTAATTCTTCAAGAGAGCGTTTGTTTTGATGAACAAAACTACCGCAATTCTACTCTTTACTTTCAGAGTAGTGCCAACATAAAGGATGGAAAAAAAGAGCCTCTGAAGATCTTCAAGTTTTGGTCTGACACCCGCTTTCAGAAGCTCCGCTTTAATTCCATCCTTGCCTAAGGAGTTTCCGTTTTTAAGGTGATGGAAAACTATTCTCAGAATGACGTTCGCGATATTACCAGAATAGTTGCTTTTGGATTATTGCAAACATATGCTTATGGCTCTAACGATAACGTGCACAGCTGCCCGTGGAACTGAGAGGTTACCTCTCTCAAAAGCTCAAGTGTCCTGGTAACGATACTACCACATTCGGTCTGTAGCGTCGTCAATCGGTTCTTTCTGGCAGACAGATTCCTAGGACAGATTTTTCAATACGAACTATATTGAAGTTGTGTAAGTCTCGCCGCATGCATTTTTATATCTGTTTGTTGAGTTGCCTATATTCTGTCAAATCTGTTGAAGAATGCAGCTTTATTTCCCGTCTAACAACTAAAAGATTAAAATTTGATCGGAGAGTTTTTGGGTTCTTCTGCGATGGGTCTTGCAAAACTTATATCCGACCGCATTGACGAACAACTGTATTGTAGTTTTCTAGGCACGTTGTCTGGTCTGTTAGGTCGCGCGTTGTCTTGCAGGAGCAGCGGGGACGAGCGATTGATCAAGAAAAGTGCGAGCTACTCCATCATTGTATTCAGTTCTTTACAGTACACATCTGCAATAATGCTATTCTCGTTTGGTAAGAAGCTGTGATGAACCACACCGGCGCTAAACCATCAAACAGTGACCATCACTTTTCTAGATATAAGTTTTCCATTGCCATTGTTTAGGTGCTGAACCAGGTTCCAACCAACTTGCTGAGCACTTGCCACTGTCAAACAGAATTCAGTTTTCGTGACAAGTAACAAGGCGGTTCAAAATTTCTTCGTTTGTTTGCCTGTTGAGCAGTGCGAGGCACGTCTCTACACGTACTTCGCGCTGGCGATCATTGAGTTCACGGGGCACCCATTTGTCAAGCTTTTTTAACTTGCCAATTTGAGCAAATTTCACTCAAATGCGGCTGCTAATTCAGCCGTAGATTGACTATCATCAGTATGCAGAATCACCTTTAATTCGTCATTGTCGACCAAAGTTTTCGGGCCACCACGGGGTTGATTTTCACGACGAAATTTCCAGAACAGAAGCGGGCAAACCAATACCAGGTGGTGCGTTTATTTGTAGTATTTGCTCCGTAAACGCCTTTATGTTGCGTGCCGCTTGTGCCGCGTTGTGCCACGACGGTACTCATATTATATAATTACTGGAATATTTAACGTATCTATGATAACAAAAAAACTTCAATCCGAAAACATAACGCTAATCAATAAACAAATTACTAATTTTGAAAAATATTTTCCATGTTTTTAAAATAAAATAAATATGAAATTAGAAGCCGTAACCAAAAAAAAGTTTATTTTGATATGAAATGGTTAGTACTGCAGAACGCCTAGTTTGAAAGGTAAAGACCTATTATATACATATATACATTAATCATAACATGAAATTATTCTGATTATGAAACAATGTCTTGTCTCAAAAGGCGTTCACGAATTAATCTCTTGAACAACCATTTGCTTGGCGCTTATCGTATGTCTTCGGGTAAGGAATGCCAAAGTCAAGTAGTCTGAACAGTAAATGATTTCCTGGAGAATCCAGTGACAGTAGTTAGAACACTTACCGAGTATCGTAGAACTCTGTCATGAGTTGAAAAAAGAAAATGAAATCTGGACCTAAGATATAAAGGAGAAGCTGAATTATTTAATATATAAAAGAGTACAAACGGAATTCTAGAATTACTCTTCTGTTTGATTGGGACCCATTTGAGGCGATTACGATATGGAGAAACATGATCATACTATCGAATTCCGTATTTGTACCCAATGCAATTATAAAGGATACACTCTAGCTTGTTGCCAAGATATTGGTCCAAATCTAGGTTACAAACATCCGCATAATCAAAAATGGGTAAAATAAGTGTCTGCACAAGCATTACTTTTGTGTTTACAGGTAGAAAATTCTTTAGACGACAGAGAGAATGTAAGGTGGTAAAGACTATGTAGCTGTTTTAAGTAACATGTGTATCCCGTTCCAATGTACTGTCCAAGCCTAGATTTTTCACAAAGTTAGAAAGGCGTATCAAGATGTGATTGTAATAGATCGATAAGGGTATAATTACACCGTAATAAATTTTTTATACACAGGACACTAATGCTCAGCTGATGTATGCTGTGCCCCATAGACGTCTACATCCATTCTAGATAAAGCATTCAAATGTCATGTCCGTCCCCTGAGGACTAAGAAGGAATGCCTCGTTTCTAGTAAAAAGGATCTTGGATTCTGTATATTCACCATACTAAACATAGTAGCATTAATCTGCTCTTTCACACTTTTAATATCTAAGAGCGTGGTTCTTTCCTGGTTAAGCCAACCCGTTCGTGCTACAACTATAATGTAGCCGCAGAATGGCTTCTTCGATTTTATAATAATAATAAGATTACAAACTTAAACAATATAGTAGATGGTTCTCCTAGTAAGTTTAAGAAAACCTGTGTCCGGAGTCTTTCTTCGCTATGACAGTCTTAAATAGGAGAGCATTTAATTAATCAATTACATTTCAAAGATATGATATGGACTTATATTTTATTTAATTTTCAGATAAAGAGCTTGGCTTCTATGATAGCTGTGGAGTGGAACTTTATTTGCAGCTTCGTCGTGCTTTTCATATTCAATCCGTTAGTTACGGCCATCGGGTTGGGTCCAGTCTTCTATATCTTCATGGTCGCCTGCTTCCTCTCAGCTATATTCTGTTTCTTCTTCTTACCGGAAACTAAAGGCCTGACTGTCGACGTCATTCAGAATCTCTTTGCAAAGAAACGTACTCAAGAACACTGACTTAGTTTTAACTTTAACAATAAGTAACTATAATGTAAGATTTACAATTTAGAATAATATAAATGAATACTTTGTATAAAATGCCTTTCATATTAATTAGTTAACTTTAAGCGTTATCGTTTTTTTTTGTAACGGCTGTAAGCATTAGGATAAAATTTATCTTTCCAAGTTAGTTAACCTAGAAAATCTGTGGTGACGTCGCTGAGATCTTGTTTAAAGAAGAGCGAAGCTTGGTCACTCAAGGACTGATTATAATTGATGAACATTGATAGTCTTTAGCTTTAGATGGACAAACGATAACAGATCACCTGATGGGAAGTGGAGGCTGTGACACATAGTCACAAATATCCATATTTGATTAAGATTTCAAATGTGACTGAATTGAATAAAAACTAATTTTACGTATTTTATCGCATTTAATTATACTAAAACGCGATAAAATCCACAAACGTAGCTTTATTCAATGTATAGTGTTCGCGTTTATATAAGAAATCATTATGATATTGCATTATTTACCCTGTGAAATCAAACATATGTCTTCTTATAAGGTTCCCCAGTTCACTACACTCACTATTTTTCACGCTAGTGTTTTGTGAGAGTGTGGTCCTACTATGGTCAAGCCGATCCATTCGTACTTCAAATATAACATGGCTGCAGCGTGGCTCTACCACGTAAAAACGAGTATTTAGTCCCTACATTATACTGTATATATCAAATATAAATTATGTCAATTGTTTTTGTCAGTTGTTTTGTCTTTATTATAAGAAATGTTTTAAAATAAGAAGAGAATAAAGAACTTGAGAGTTTCAGATTGTATATTGTTTTAATGTTAAATTTCTCTTATATTATTGGTATTTTGTGAGAGCATGGTCTTTATTTGGTCGAGCCGACTCATTCGTGCAAACACAAATAGTATTTAGTCACTGCGTTTTACTGTATATATCAAATAAAATTTGTGTCAATTGTTTTTGTCATTTCTTATGCGTTCCTTATAAGAAATGTTTAAAAATAAGAAGGCAGTAAAGAAATAAAGATTTTCAGATTGTATATAGTTTTTAATTTTAAATTTCTCCCATATTTAACTTCGGCGTTCGTGATTCGGTACGTCACGGACGCGTCGGTGCACTGGTAAGTTTTTACTTATAATTGATTAAATAATATTGCAAACGCAATATTTTAGCTAAAAATTTATTTATTAGACAACTAAAACAGAATATTTTTTATTCGATATAGATTATAAATAATACTTATTGAAAGTCACTCTTTGTTTAATTACCACTAGTTTGAAAAAAAACCTCTGTCCTGCGAGAAACCAGCAAGATACCCAGCGGAACATTTTTTAAAAAATAACAACTTACAATCATGTATGATACACAAATTAACAACACATCAAATTAGAAATAGCTTGGTAGCGATAACCTCATTTCCAGGGGTTATTATCATTTTTTTTATAGAATAGGGGGCAAACGAGCATGCGGCTCACCCGATGGTAAGTGACTGCCGCCGCCCATGAACAACCGCAACACCAGAGGTTGCAGATGCGTTGCCGGCCTTTTAAAAATGAGTAGGCTCTTTTCTTAAAGGTCCCTAAGTCGTATCGGTCCTTCTTCTCTTCTTCTAAACCGCACAGTGGTGGACCGCCAACCATCTAGATGGTGTGGATGGTATCGGGAGTTCTGCCGCGATGTTCGTTCGTGAAATTTGGCGGCTGGGATTAATACGAACAATTCCTCAGAGCACTCCCCGTGGTAAATGCGAAAGAAAATGCAAAGAGATGCAACATCTCTTCGCAGTGCCAATGAATCGAGCCGATCGGAAAGGACTCGGTCGTCGACGATTCGAGCCGCTCTGCGCTGGATGCGGTCAAGTGGAAGGAGCTGGCACTGTGGAGCCCCTACCCAGAGATGGGAACAGTATTCCATGTGAGGCCGAACCTGCGCCTTGTAAAGTTGCAGGCACACCAAGCTTTTTAGAGGCCAATTTGGCCTTCTCTTCCAAGTGACCACAAAAGTGTCACTGGATATAACGACTCCGAGGATTCCGATACTGGCTGAGGCAAGAAGGGGAGTGCCTTGAAACTTAGGAGATACGACAAAGGGGTTCTTTGTAGCGGTAAACGTGCAAACTTGTGTCTTCTGAGGATTAAACTGGACTAGATCTAGTCGCCTCTAATCCGGGACTTAGTTCATCAAACACTCGACTTAAGATATAAGTTTGTTTCAGTACTCGGCGACGTTTTCACGAGATATATTGGCACGGCCGGTGTATAGAGCATCACCAGTGCTGTCATCCGCATACCAATGAATGTTACTAGTTTGCAACATATCATTGATATGCAGAAGAAACAGCGTTGGTGATAGCACACAGCCTTGTGGAAAACCAGCGTTAATAGGCTTGTAGTCGGAGCATGCACCGTCTACAACAACCTTGCTCCGATCTGCAAGGAAGCTGGTGATCCAATTGCACAATTTCTCGGGAAGCCCATAGGAAGGGAGCTTCGAAAGAAGCGCTTTGTGCCAAACCCGATCGAAGGCCTTCGCAATGTCCAAACTAACGGCCAATGCCTTCCACTTGGACTCTACTGCCTCCGCCCATCTATGAGTAAAGTAGACCAGAATATCACCAGCTGATCGGCCCCGACAAATACCGTATTGGCGGTCACTAATCAGCTGGTGATCGTCAAGGTACTGCATGAGGTAGCAATTTATAACGGATTCCATTATTTTGGAGAACAAGGGGGTGATGGCGATAGGCCTGTAGTTAGACGGGTCTGAGCGGTCGCCTTTTTTAGGGATCGGGTGGACAAAAGCTAACTTCCATGATTTTGGGACTACACCTAGGGAGTAGGAGTACCGTAAAAGATGGAACACACATCCTCAGCACAATTGGGGGGATTCCGTCAGGCCCACTCGACTTGTGTATGTCTAGGGAGGGGAGTGCTTTCCAAACCGATCGCTGTGAGAACCGCACATCCGGCACTCACAGCGCTGGATGGTCGGTGGTGTGTTCCCCCCATCATCAAGAGTCGAGTTGGATGCAAACAGGGAGCCTAAAGGATCGGCTTTCTCTTTTGCGGCGTGGGCCGGTGAGTAGTCCTCCCTGTGCAGAGATGGCAGTGATGGCTTACAGAAATTCCCTTGGACATCCTTGGCGAGAGACCAGAATGTACGAGTTCCCGAAAGAAGGCTAGTTAGTTTCTCGCCTATTCTGCCTATGTGCTCTGACTTTGCCTTGGCAATAACTCTTTTGAAGGACCTGGAGGCGAAATTATACTTCCTTTTAAGGATGCTGGTGTTTACATTCCGAGCCGCTGAAGCCTCAGCCTAGGCTTGTTAGCACTCCTGCTTACTGCGTGGTGCATTCTTATAGGAGTGACCAAACCAAAGCCGAGATCTGCCTTCGATGGGTACCACAGATGATAGAGTAAATAATAATGGGGTTGTTATAAACTAATTTGCTTAATTCCGCGTAAAAAAAGAAAATGATGTGTCCTGCCCAGTCTTAAGGGGACCTCCCACCCTCCCTCAATCGCGCGCATTATACCCTTCGCCGTTAATCACAGCACTACCACCCCGAACACCACCACACTAGGCACGACACACCACTCCCGAAAATACGACACGTGTTTCGCCTCTACACGAGGCAACCTCAGGTGAAGTAGACTCTGCGGAGGCTGGCCGCTAAGCTTAGCGGCTAGCCTCCGCAGGGTCTACTAAGCCGAAGTCTACTATGTCCAAATTGAGCAAATTAGTTTATAACAACCCCATAATAATGGATTTCCGCAAAGTAACGCCTGATTCTATCAATTATGGAGTAAATAATTCCATTTCCTGTAGCACCACAGAGGCAACAACAGCGCTAGGATCATCTGGCGAGAAGCAAACCCGCTGCCATGGGTAGGAAGCAAAGAAAGACTGTATTCCATCGCAATCTGCAGACCTGTAATGCCAAATAGGGCGCCAACCTGCAGAACGCAACCGCGAGGGGAGCGTGAGTGGCACCATACTCCGGATCAGGCAATGGTCTGAAGAGCCGAGATCATCAGCATCGACGGAAATCTGATATTCATCCGGATGACAGGTCAGCAGAAGGTCCAACAGGGAAGTTGTATGATCCTCCACATCTGGAATCCGCGCGTGTAACCAGTTGTGTCAGACCATATGCCAAGGCAAAGTCATAAACAGATCTCCCCGCATGATCGATTAAACGTGAACCGAGCCGTTCCGCGTGGTGGGTGTTAAAATCGCTAAGGATCACGATCTCTGCGGATGGGACCTGATGTAGCAAGGAATCTGTAGCCATTTGGGCGTAGTCGATGAGTCGGTCTGTTTCGGCTTTACCACTATAGGAGCTATAGAGGCACCCGTAGACGCGCGGATGGTCGTCGCTGTCTACGCGTAGCCAAAGGATGGACAGGTCCAAACCTTCAAGACTGCCGAGGCGTCGAGAACAGATGTCCTCTCTGACGTATACGCAAACTCCAGCCCGAGGCACAAAGGAGTGTTCCAATTTGTACCCCGGATAGGAGAGATACGAAGTATCAGCCGTAGAGAACATCTGCATCTCAGTCAGAAAGAGCAAGGACGGCTTGGCTGTTTTGAGATGGTAGTGAACGGCGGTTAGGTTCGAGCAAAGTCCCCTGATGTTGCAGAAATTCACGGAGAGCTTGGCAGGGGTCGCCTTGCTCTTGTTGCTTAGTTTGCCCCGAGCAGTTATTGTGTTTATTGGAATCCCCCCCCCCCTGGGGTACTCTATGATATAATTTCGCTGCCATGTTGATGGGGGGGAGGGGAAATTGGGCCTCCGGTCACCTGCACTCACCACACGAAATGCAGAGGCAGAGCTTCCACTTCGCGCCAGTATTATGTGAGGTAGTGATAGCTTTTGCCTCGAGTTGGCCCATACGTGCAACAGCAAAAGCTGCTGCGTGGCTCTACCACCGTCCATAAATGTTTTAATATTATAATAACTCTTTTTATACAAACTTACTTTAATAAAGTTTTTGAACTTTTGGCAGGTCTAATTTTGTATGTATTCTGGAAGTTTGTTGTAAAAGCGTATCCATCGCCATCTTCATACAATTAAAGATTTGTAAGCTACATTTTAAATTAATTTAATTATTAGAACTGCTAGAGATTACCTCTATTGTCTGATTTTCTAATTTAAATTACTTGGAACTGATTCCAAATTACATATTAAGTCATTATACTGCTCAAAAGAAGCAGATTTTGTGTAGCCAAGTCCTTGGCTGAGTTAATATATAAACAATAAGATAGCACATTTGCTATCTGTCTTAAATTACATTTAGATATGTAATACCTATCTCTAGTCAAAATTAATTAAATTTATTATTTATTAAATTATTTATGTCTATTAAATTAATTATTTTATTAATTATTATAATTATAACAATTAAATGTCAAGTTTAAATTATTATTACATGAAAAGTTATTCATTAATAAATTTAAATCATATCTTATTTTATTTTCATGCGGTCAACCCTATATGTAAGGCAATGTAACAGGATAATTTTATGTACATTGAAAGTATTTAAATTATCAATATATTTTATTAATTGATGTTTATTTACATTGCCTTTTCTCCCAACAAGAATTATTAATGTGCTATTAGGGCAAAACTTACGAGCTAAAACTTTATTAATTATCAGCCTTATTAATATAAATTGCTTATTCCAAGTTTAATTCGCAGGAACACTTGGACTAGTTAATCTCAGAGTAACTGAGTATTAACTTCTTTATTACAATGTTATTAATAAACATGGAGTAACCTCTTCTTCACAATACATTCCTTCCGCCGATATTAAGTATTTCCTATATACAAAAGTACTCTGTGATTAAGTAAAATGAGTGAGTCAGTGAATGAGTGGTGAATGAACTCAATGCTTGATGATTACATTAATGACAGTGACAGGCAACATTTTGAATTTGACAACTTGACAAGAGTTGAAAATGGTTGAAAAATACGCGTTACGTGTTGTTCCTCGTGTTGTTTTCGGTTCATCTTCTGTACTTACAGGTTTAATGAGTTAAATAGCCGACATCGACAATTAAGTCAGCTTAAAATACAGTGAAAAACTAAGAAGGTAAATGCTCCGATGAAATATAGCACCTACAAAAAAGAATTGACTAAAACAGGTGGTGAAGCAAGACCTGCAACTCCTAATGATGGAGTAATAGAAATCAAAGATTTGTTCAATCCTGCAGAGGTATTGAGGGATCATAATATACATGATTCAGATTGGATTGTGAGTACATTTTTTATTCTTTAGTTTCTTAGCAAATGTATACATACATACTGCTATACTGCTTATAACATTTTAGAAGACTAATTCCTCAATTCATTTATTCATCAATCATTCCTTTTCTATTTAATTATGTAAGCAATTATTGTTTTTCTGTTTATGTAGTGTATGTTATTTTTATCAACAGTAATATTTTTAATAACTGGTTTTCATTTACAGAACCATGATGACTATATAAACAACATGATAAGCCATAGCAAAATTTTGAAAGAGGAAGCACAAAGAGACGTTTAGAAATGGCTGAAGAGGAACATGCAATTAAAATTGGAGAATAAAATGGAAATACATAAATAATAACTAAAATGTGCAATACTCGAAATAGATATTTTAGAAATAAGAAAAGTGTGTGAAGAGCAAAATAAATTTAAATAAGAAAAAATATATATACTTATCCTGAAAAAATAAAACAGAAACAGAAACTTTTTATTCAATAGAGATTATAAATTATACTTATTGAAAGTCACTCTTTTGTTTAATTACCACTGGTTCGAAAAAAAACCTCTGTCCTGGGAAGAACCAGCAAGAAACCCAGCGGGACATTTTTTAAAATTAACAGCTTACAAACATGTATGTTACATAAATTAAAAACACAACAAATTAGAAATAGCTTGGTAGCGATCATCTCATTTCTAGGGGTTATCATCATCAACATGACTTGAAATGTGCTGTACCCTGCATCTTTCCCTGTAACCATCATTTACGGCCTAAATAAAAGCACTTTACTCTTAAAATGAAATATTATCACATTACTTCCCTGGATTTATTCGATATTGATAAAAATTGTATGTAGTCGTTATGCTTTGACAGTTGACAATGACCCAGCAGAAATATTTTCTTTTATAAATGAGTATTGTCTGAAATCAAAAATTATTATTATAATAACTGTCTTATATATTTACTTTTTTAGCCGTGTAGTGGCGGTTAAGAATATCCACTACCCCATATCTTCCCGTGGGTGTCGTAAAAGGCGACAAAGGGAAACAGGCAGGAGATGGGCAGCAGCATCTTCCTGATAATAGCCAAAATTACAATAAAAAAACTGCGGTTGCCAACCCGCTCGCCAAGCGTGGCAACTATGGCAAATACCCCCCTATGAATGTAACAAAGAGACGGCCCCCAGTCCCCGGCGGCCCCGCTATTCCTGGCTACGGTGGCGACCATGGTAACGGCGGGGCAGGGGGTGCTAAGAATCTCCGGTGGAGGTTCGGTTGCCACCTTAGACGACTCGACCAGGCAACGTACAACGCACGCACCCTGAGGACTGACGAGAAGATCGTGGAGCTGGAAGAAGAGATAGACATGTTGCGCTGGCATATTATAGGATTATCCGAAGTCCGAAGAGAGGGGGAGGACACGGTAATCCTCGAATCCGGCAACTTGCTCTATCACCGGGAGGGCGACCATCTGTCCCAAGGAGGTGTCGGATTTATCGTCCACAAGTCTCTCGTTAACAACGTTGTAAAGATCGGGAGTGTGTCGACGAGGGTTGCGTACCTTATACTCAGAATCACCAAACGGTATTCGCTGAAGGTCATACAGGTTTACGCACCAACCTCGGCACACCCCGATGGGGAGGTGGAGGAAATGTATGAGGATATCTCTAGAGCCATGCATTCCTCCAAAACCCAATATACGGTGTTAATGGGAGACTTCAATGCAAAACTAGGCACAAGAGAAAGCGGTGAGCTGAAAGTAGGGAAATTTGGAATAGGGCAACGGAACCCAAGGGGCCAGCAGCTGGCCGACTTCATGGAGAAAGAGGGACTCTTTATGATGAACTCTTTCTTCCAGAAGCGGCCCCACAGGAAGTGGACCTGGTCGAGCCCCGACGGTTCGACAAAAAATGAGATTGACTTCATTATGACAACCAGACGACAACTGTTCAGTGATGTCTCCGTGATCGCGAGGGTGAAAACTGGTAGCGATCACCGAATGGTTAGAGGCACACTGAACCTAAACGTTAAGTTGGAGAGGTTTCGTCTAATGAAGTCAACGCTCCGTCCCCCTCGTGCTCTGTTCCAAAGTCCCGAAACCTTTCAGCTCGAGTTACAAAACCGTTTTCAGTGCCTAGAAGACTGCAATGAAGTGGACGATTTGAATGACAAGCTCGTGGAAACTGTCCATGCGGTCGGAGCTAAGTTCTGCAAGACCCGCCGCAGAAGAACACAAAAACTCTCCGATCACACTCTTAATCTCATGGCTGTTAGACGGGAGATGAAGCTACATTCTTCAACAGATTTAACAGCATACAGGCAACTGAACAGACAGATCTCCAAATGCATGCGGCGGGACTTACGCAAATTCAATACAGCTCGTATTGAAGAAGCGATCGAGCGGAACCAAGGCTCCAAAGTCTTTGCTAGAGATCTGTCTGCCAGAAAGCGCCAACTGTCAAGGCTGAAGACAGAATGTGGCAGCATCGTTTCCGGGGCACCTGAGATTTTGAGTGAGATTGAGAGGTTCTATGGGCAGTTGTACACGTCATCGTTGGAGCCGCACGCAAGTGTGAGTAACGATCCAAGAGCGAGTCTTATCCGACATTATTCCGATGATATCCCGGACGTCAGTCTGAGCGAGATTAGAATGGCTCTCCAGCACCTTAAAAACGGTAAGGCCCCAGGCGAGGATGGAATTACAGCGGAGCTTCTGAAAGCGGGTGGAAGACCGGTACTTGAAGTCCTTCAGAAGCTCTTTAATTCCGTCCTCCATGGTGGCATTACACCGGAGGCGTGGAGCAGAAGTGCGGTGGTCTTGTTCTTCAAGAAAGGCGACAACGCTCTCTTGAAGAACTACAGACCGATTTCCCTTCTGAGCCGCGTCTACGTGCTGTTTTCGAGAGTCATTACGAATCGTCTCGCGCGCAGACTTGACGACTTCCAGCCTCCCGAACAAGCCGGTTTCCGAAAAGGCTTTAGCACCATAGACCACATACATACCCTTCGGCAAATTGTACAGAAGTCCGAGGAGTACAATTTGCCACTATGTCTGGCGTATGTGGACTATGAGAAAGCCTTTGATTCCGTCGAAATTTGGGCGGTGCTGCAGTCCCTTCAGCGATGCCAAGTTGACTGTCGGTATATCGAAGTGTTGAAGTGCTTGTACAGTAGGGCTACGATGGCTATCCGAGTTCAGAACCAGAGTACGAAACCTATCCAATTGCAGAGAGGTGTAAGACAGGGTGACGTCATATCCCCGAAACTCTTTACCGCTGGTGATAAACTTTTCTATTTACACCAAGCAGAAGTATATATAGCTGCAATTTGGTTGACCTTTGCCTTAAAAACGAGTGTTTTTTTATAGGATAGGATGACAAACGAGCACACAGTCCACTGATGGTAAGTGGTTGCGGTGGCCCATAGATATCTACATTCATCCTCGTTTACGAATCAAAATGCAGATGCATTGTCACCCGTGAGGACTAAGATGGAATGCCTCTTTTCCAGTAAAAAGGGTCTCCGGTTCTCTACACTCACCATACGAAAGACAGCAGTGTTAAGCAAATATTGTCTAGAAGTTCAAATGTCTAATTATGGATCATGAGACTTTTGAAGTTATCCTAAAAGGTAACAATTCATCAGCTAATGGGCTACAACTAGCAGGGATCTTACAATCTACCTGATAGGAACCCCTTAACGACAAATGGGTTGTTAGTGCGTAGACGCTCTTATATAATTTAAAAAACCTTCAAGGAACTGTAAAGCAACTTTCAGGTATTACATAAATCGTAAAAATTTTATTACATTTTATAACACGAGGAATCATTCTCCATTCTAAAGGCGAGTGTACAATGGACGCGAAGCGTTATGAAAGCTGTTTTAACGTACAGAAATTTAAACTACTAATTACAATCATTTTTTGTGCGTGAAGAGAATCTTAAGAATCTACTTATTTTGTTCCTTGGGTATAATAGTAAAAGGTAACCATGAGAAATATCAGAAAGTTTTTAAACTTCCGATAGGTGGCGGTATAACTGTAACTTTTAGGACAAACGGAAAATACCTACATACCTTGACTTCTACGCCGTAGGTCTAGCGAAATTTCTGGTACTTTAATCTCTAATCCACCTGTCAAACTTGGCGATTAAGATAAATTTAACCCAGCAGGAGAGGCCTATGACAAAATGAACAAAACTAATGTTGATTTTTATTGTACTAGTATTCAATTCAAGAATGTGAAATAGAAGAAAGAGAGAAAGAAAACTGCAGCCTAATATAGCTCACGGCTGGTAATGAGACTCGCTCTCTATATTTTTTAGACCGTAACAGAGTTGTGCAAGCTCTGCTATTTGGCAACAGAAGTAGGTATGAGGATGTTACCTACCCAGATGGACTCCTACACAGTAAACGAGTGCTAACATCTAGTGTCAACCGTCACCTTTCAACCACTCATATATATATATTTTCAATGGCTTGCATTTAATAGTGTGTACATTCTTAAGGATTTTCTCCTAATCCGTAAGTTACGAATTTTGTTTACATAAGAAATTTTAAATATCTTCATTAATAGACAGTTTAAATCAGTTCTGTGCTAGAAAACCGAGTGTAACAAAAGGCTTGTATACGATCTTAAGTGTTTTGGGGGCCTGCGACTTCGTGGTTTAAGAAAATCTGAGAATGGACGAAAACTAAATAAAAAAATATCCTTTTTATTTATTCCAAAAATCGAGATTGCGAATTATTTAATAAACGAAATTTTGTTGCCGAAAAGATGACAATCCTATATCAAGTGCTCTCGACTGCAATAGGTAATGTTTGGGATTAAATTTTTTTATTTGGTGTTGTTTAAACTAGCAGAACTATTTCCTACCCTTATATTTTTTATAATCTATACATGTAATAAATCTGTAGAAAAGTCGTGTCCGTTATTATAATATTTTCAGGAAAAAACAAGTTTAGTCAAGACTTAATAAAGTTCAATGAATCCAAATTAGTGGTTTTTAGAACTTTTGTCTGTATGTCTGTCTGTGTATACGCTTTCACGCAAAAATTACTACACAGATTTCCATTATAGTTTGTTTACCGATTATGGAACTTAAAAAGGAGGGTTATTTATGTTTAAACGGTGGTAGAGCCCCGCAGCAGTTTTTTGCTGTTGCACGTATCGGCAGGCTCGAGCCGGGTTGGTACCACGACCTCACAGAATACCGGCGTGAAGTAGAGGCTCTGCTTCTGCGTTTCGTCTGGTGAGTACAGGTGGCCGGAGGCCCAATTCCCCCCCCCTCCTCCCCCCATCAA